AAAATGGAGAACTCAGTACAATACAGATGTCAATTTTTCCTACTCTGATCTATAGATTCAAAGTAACCTCAGTTAAAACCCCAAGAGAGGGCTGGGCACAGTGGCTTACACCTGTAATCCCAGTACTTTGGAAGGCCAAGGCGGGTGGATCACCCTGAGAACAGGTGTTCGAGACCAGCCTGACCGACATGGTGAAATGCCATATCTACTAAAAATACAAAAAACAGCCAGGCATGGTGGTGGGTGCCTGTAATCCCAGCTACTCCGGGGGCTGAGGCAGGAGAATGGCCCGAACCTGGGAGGTGGAGGTTGCAGTGCGCCAAGATTGTGCCAGTCCTGCTGGGCGACAGAGCAAGACTGTCAAAAAAAAAAAAAAAAAAAAAACCAACAACAATAGAGTTTATTTTGGGGAGGAAGAGGACTTCGCAAGTGGATTCTGAAGCTTTCACAGAATTACAAAAGACCAAGAATAGCTTAGACATTCTTAAAAGTGTTAGATAAGCAGTCTTACTCGGATATCAGGCTTATTGCAAGGCTACATATTCAAGACATCACAATTTTGTAGCAGAAACAAATTGACCAAAGGAACAAGGTACATAGGCAAGAAACAGACTTGGCCTTAATGGACACTTGAGTAATGATAAAAATGGCACTATAGAGCTGTTTTTTCAGTAAACTGTGCTGGGTTAATTACATATCCATGTGAAAAAAAATGAAATAGGATTTCTAACTCACATGATCAACAAAAGTCAATTTCAGGAGGTCTGGATAATAAAATGTAAACAGCAAAATAATGAGTTCTTAAAGATGATACAGAATATCTTAGGCCAGGCATGGTGGCCCGCACCTGTAATCCCAGCACTTTGGGAGGCCGAGGCAGGCGAATTGCTTGAGTCTGAGAGTTTGACACCAGCTTGGGCAAAGCAATGAAACCCCATCTCTAGAAAAAATACAAAAATTCGCTGGGTGTGGTGGCACACGCCTGTAGTGCCTCTATTTGGGAGGCTGAGATGGAAGGACTGCTTAAGCCTGGGAGGTTGAGGCCGCAGTGACTCTGATCGTGCCACTGTAATCCAGCCTGTGTGACAGTGCGAGACCCTGTCTCAAAAAAACAAAAAACAAAAACCAGAATATCTTCATGACATCAAGGAAGAAATAGATACCTTAACCCTGACAGAACACATATTAATTATAAAGGAAAAGACACAAATTTTACTAAGTTAAAATTTTTTTTCTTTTTTTTGAGACAGATACTTACTCTGTCACCCAGGCTGGAGTACAGTGGCACCATCTCGGCTCACTGCAACCTCTGCCTCCCGGGTTCAAGTGATTCTCCCGTTTCAGCCTCCCAAGTAGCTGGGATTATATGTGACACCACAACTGGCTGATTTTTTTTATTTTTTTATTTTTTTGAGACGGAGTTTCACTCATGTTGCCCAGGCTGGAGTGCAATGAAGCGATCTCAGCTCACCACAACCTCCGCCCCCCAGGTTCAAGCCATTCTCCCGCCTCAGCCTCCCGAGTAGCTAGGACTACAGGCACGCACCACCACGTCCAGCTAATTTTGTATTTTTATTAGAGATGGGGTCTCTCCATGTTGGTCAGGCTGGTCTCAAACTACCGACCTCAGGTGATCCGCCTGCCTTGGCCTCCCAAAGTGCTGGGATTACAGGCATGAGTCACTGTGCCCGGTCTGATTTTTAAATTTTTAGTAGAGATAGGGTTTCGCCATGTTGGTCAGGCTGGTCTTGAACTCCTGACCTCAAATGATCCGCCTGCCTCGGCCTCCCAAAGTGCTAAGACTACAGGGGTTGAGCCACTGTGCCTGTTTTTTTTTTTTTCTTTCTTTCTGTTTTGGAGAGAGTTTAACTCTGTTGCCCAGGCTGGAGTGCAGGGGTGCCATCTCAGCTCACTCTAACCCCTACCTCACAGGTTCAAGCAATTCTCCTGCCTCAGCCTCCCAAGTAGCTGGGACTACGGGCACACACCACCACACCCCGCTAATTTTTGTATTATTAGTAGAGACGGGGTTTTGCCACGTTGGTCAGTCTTGTCTCTAACTCCTGACCTCAAGTGATCCACCCTCCTCGGCCTCTCAAAATGCTGGAATTCCAGGTGTAAGCCACAGCACCCGGCCTAAAATTTAAAACATCTTAATTCATCAAATGATGAAGTGAGCAGAGGGAGGAGATACTTATCACACATAAAACACACAAACGATTCATATTCAAAAACAGAAAACCTCCTATATATTAGTACAAATACTCAGTATACAACTCATTAGAAAAACAGAAATAAGACTTGAATACGTACTTCAAGAAGAGAAAATCTAGATACCCAATAAACACATAAAAAGGTACTAAGCCCCAGCACTTTGGGATGCCGAGGTGGGCGGATCATGAGGTCAGGAGTTCAAGATGAGCCTGGCCAACATGGTGAAACCCCACCTCTACTAACAATACAAATATTAGCTGGACGTGGTGGTGCACGCCTGTAGTCCCAGCTACTTGGGAGGCTGAGGCAGGAGAATTGCTTGAACCAGGGAGGCAGAGGTTGCAGTGAGCCGAGATCATACCACTGTACTCCAGCCTGGGTGACAAGAGTGTCATCTCAAAAAACAAACAAAAAGAATAAATAGAAACCTAATAAAACTCTAACAAGTAAAAAAATTAAATGAGTAATTAAAATTTTTCCTACAAAGAGGCCAGGCTTGGTAGCTCACACTCGTAATCCCAGCATTTTGGGAGGCTGAGGCAGCAAGATTGCTTGAGCCCAGGAGTTAGAAACTGCACTGAGCTGTGATCAAGCCACTGTACTCCAGCCCATGCGACAGAGCAAGATCCCGTCTCTAAAATAAATAAATACTTTTTCCTACAAAAAAAAAAAAAAAAAAGCACAGACAGTTTCAGGGATGAATTCTATCAAATATTTTAAAAGAAATAATAGGCTGAGCACTATGGCTCAACACCTGTAATCCCAGCACTTTGGGAGGCAGAGGTGGGCCAATAACCTGAGGTCAGGAGTTCGAGACCAGCTTGGCCAACATGACGGAGAATTGCTTGAACTGCAGTGAGCCAAGACTGTACCACTGCACTCCAGCCTGGGCAACAGAGCAAGACTCCATCTCAAAAATAAATAAATAAATATCATAATAATGCTCTACAAACTCTTCCAGAAAAGAGCAACACTTCCAAATTCATTGAGACCAGTATCACCATCATACCAAAGACAAAGATATTACCACAAAGAAAAAAAAGGACCGGCCGGGCGCGGTGGCTCAAGCCTGTAATCCCAGCACTTTGGGAGGCCGAGACGGGCGGATCACGAGGTCAGGAGATCGAGAGACGATCCCGGCTAACACGGTGAAACCCCGTCTCTACTAAAAAATACAAAAAAATAGCCGGGCGAGGTGGCGGGCGCCTGTAGTCCCAGCTACTCGGGAGGCTGAGGCAGGAGAATGGCGTAAACCCGGGAGGCGGAGCTTGCAGTGAGCTGAGATCCGGCCACTGCACTCCAGCCTGGGTGACAGAGCAAGACTCCGTCTCAAAAAAAAAAAAAAAAAAAAAAAAAAAAAAAAAGAAAAAAAAGGACCAATAGACCTCATGACTATGGACATAAAAATCCCCAAAAAAATAGTAGCAAACCAAATCCAACAACATATAAAAACCACTCTGATGGTTAATATAAGTGTCAACTTGACTAAATTGAGGGATGCAAAGTATTGTTTCTGGCTGTATTTGGGTGCTGCCAAAAGAGATTAACATTTGAGTCAGTGGACTAGAGAGAAAGACCCACCCACAATGTGGGTAGGTACCATCCAATGGCTGCCAGCACCGCTAGGAAAAGCAGGCGGAAAGTAGGATACGCTGACTTGCTAAGTCTTCTGGCCTGCATCTTTCTCCCATGCTGGATGTTTCCTGCCCTCAAACATCAGACTCCAAGTTCTTTGGCTGTTGGGTTCTTGGACTTACCCCAGTGGTCTACCAGGGGCTCACAAGCCTTTGGCCACAGATTGAAGGCTGCACTGTTGGCTTCCCTGCTTTTGAGGTTTTGGGACTCAGACTGAGCCACTACTGGCTTCCTTGCTCCTCAACTTGCAGACTGCCCATCACGGCACTTCACCTTGTGATTGTGTGAGTCAATTCTCCTTAATAAACTCCCTTTCACATATACATATATCCTACTCGTTCTGTCCCTCTAGAGGACCCTGACTAATACAACTATATGCCATATAACCACTATGACCAAGTGGGATTTATCCCAGGAATGCAAGGCTGGTTTAACATTCAAAAATCAATTTATGTAATGCATCCTATTAACAGAAAAAAGAACAAAAACCACGATTATCTCAATAAATGTACAAAAACCATGTGACAAAATCCAGTAACATTAATGATAAAACCTATGAAAAGTCACAAGAAAATAGATGACATACTAAAAATAGGATAATTTGAAGATGGTATATTCATAAACTTGTGGGTGTAGAGGAACCACAAGGAACAATGCAGGAACCCGAAGCTAGTAAAAGCTAAGGTGGTACTACCTCCAGGCCCAAAGAGATGAGGGGAGGGAACAATTACCAAAACCCAGAAAGGGACAGTTATACAGAGTCTGCCACAATATAAGGTGCCGAGAGCTTCAGTGGAGAGATAGAGCCAACTGAAGGTAAAAGTCTGAAAGCTACCATGATCAAAAGCAGAAGACATGAGAGCCAGCCAACCTTGATGATATAACTTGAAAGCTCAGGAGAGTAATACTTTTGCTCAGAATCAAATTTTATTGATTGATCTTTCCATGCACTCAGAATGTTTTTTGATTGTAACATAATGTACAAAATGTGTATTCTCTTACAGATGAAAAACTTAAAATATCAATGATAAAAAAAACTTACCCATAGTTACTACCTCACTCATAATTTATAATTTTTTCATACACAAAATGTTTACAGTTTTATATGAACCATAATTCGTTATATTTTTTTCTCAAGTCCCATCACTCACCTGGAATCAACCTTCTTCTCCATCCTCTGCTTAATCACTTTTTGATGGAAATTATGGCTTGATATACACTTCACAGTGAGCAGATTCTTCTTGAATCAAAGTATTTTATCTTCCCCTTCTAACTACAAAAAAAAAGGGAATAAAAGAGAGAGAAAATTATTCGCAGCTTCTCAGGAGCCACACTTCTGAACAGCTACATGCCAGCTCCTAGTCTCCTACCCTCCTTAATTCAACACTAGATGAACATGGGCTAGGTCTCTGACTGAAAATACTATATTTAAATTACATTTTTTTAAACATTTTTTGAGACAAAGTCTTGCTCTATCACCCAGGCTGGAGTGCAGAGGCACGATCTCTGCTCACTGCAACCGCCACCTCCTGGGCTCAAGCAATTCTCCTGCTTCAACCTCTCAAGTAGCTGGGATTACAGGCACCTGCCACCACACCCGGCTGATTTTTGCATTTTCAGTAGAGACAGGATTCCACCATGTTGGCCAGGCTGGTCTCAAAATTCCTGACCTCAAGTGATCCACCCACCTTGGCCTCCCAAAGTGCTAAAATTACAGTGGTGAGCCACCACACCCAGCCTCACTGTGGCTTTGATTTGTATTTCTCTAATGATGAGTGATATTGAGCTTTTTTTCATGTTTGTTCACCGTATGTATGTCTTCTTTTGAAAAGTGTCTGTTCATGTCCTTTGCCCACTTCTTAATGGGGTTGTTTTTATCTCATAATGTTGTAAATGCTAGATGATAGATCTTTGTCAGATGGATAGAGTGCAAAAATTTTCTCCCATTCTGTAGGTTGTCTGTTTACTCTGATGATAGTTTCTTTTGCTATGCAGAAGTGCTTTAGTTTAATTAGAAATTAAACTAAATTTGTCAATTTTTTATTCTGTTGCAATTGCTTCTGGCATCTTCGTCATGAAATCTTTGCCTGCGCCTATGTCTTGAATGGTATTGCCTAGGTTTTCTTCTAGGGTTTGTATAGTTTTGGGTTTTAAATTTAAGTCTTTAATCCATCTTGCGTTGGTTTTTGTATATGGCGTAAGGAAGGGATCCAGTTTCTGTATTTGCATATGGCTAACCAGTTCTCCCAGCACCTATTACTAAATAGGGACTCCTTTCCCCATTGCTGGTTTTGGTCAGATCTGTCAAAGATCAGATGGTTGTAGGTGTGCGGTCTTATTTCTGGGTTCTCTATTAGGTTCCATAAGTCTATGTTTCTGTTTTTGCACCAGTACCATTCTCTTTTTGTTACTGTAACCCTGTAGTACAGCTTGAAGTTGGATAGTGTGATGCCTGCAGCTTTATTCTTTTTGCTTAGGATTGTCCTGGCTATTCATGCTTTTTTTGTTCCATATGAATTTTAAAGTAGTTTTTTCTAATTCTGTGAAGAATGTCAATGGTAATTAATGGTAATAGCATTGAATCTGTAAATTGCTTTGGGCAGTATAGCCATTTTCATGATATTGATTTTTGCTATCCATGAGCATGGAATGTTTTTCCATTTGTTTGTGTCACCTCTGATTTCTTTGAGCAGCGGTTTGTAGCTCTACTTGAAGAGGTCTTTCACTTCCCTTGTTAGCTGTATTCCTAGGTATTTTATTATTTTTGTGGCAACTGTGAATAGGAATTCATTCATATTTGGTTCTCTGCTTGCCTGTTGTTGGTGTATAGGAATGTTTGCAATTTTTGCACATTGATCTGTATCCTGAAGCTTTGCTGAGGCTGGTTATCAGCTTAAGAAGCTTTTGGGCTGAGACGATGGGGTTTTCTAGATAAAGAATCACGTCATCTGCAAAATGTTATTTTCTAATTAAGGAAACTGAGAGGAGATGAGCCACACTCAAAAGGTGTGCCTGCTTCTTTCTTTGTGTCTAGATGCTTCAGCACCTTCAACTTCCCTTCACAAAAACACCAGTAGAGGCCAAGATTTCTTGTTTTTCTTCAGATTAATTTTTATGGTTATCAGTGTTACCATGTAGAGTTTTCATTTTCTTTCTTTTGTTTTTTTAAAGACAGAATTTCTGGCCAGGCACAGTGGCTCATGCCTGTAATCCCAGCCCTTTGGGAGGCTGAGGCAGGCAGATCACCTGAAGTCAGGAGTTCAAGACCAGCCTGCCCAACATGGGGAAATCCCGTCTTTATTAAAAATACAAAAGTTAGCCAGGCATGGTGGTGGGCACCTGCAAACCCACCTACTCAGGAGGTTGAGGGAGGAGAATCACTTTAACCCCTGAGGCAGAGGTTGCAGTGAACCGAGATTGCGCCACTGCACTGCAGCTTGGGCGATGGAGCAAGACTGTCTCAGGAAAAAAAAAAAAAAAAGACAGGATTTCCCTCTGTCGCCCAGGCTGGAGCGCAGCAGTGCAATCACAGCTCACTGCAGCCTCCACCTCCTCAGGCTCAGGTGAGCCTCCCGCCTCAGCTTCCCAAAGGGTTAGGATTGCAGGCATGAGCCACCATGCCTAGCCTTTTTTCTTTCTCATGCTGTCATCCACGGTCTCATGCTATTATCCAGGCTGAAGTACTGTGGCACCATCACGGCTCACTGCAGCCTCAGCCTCCCATGCTCAAGCAGTCCTCCCACCACAGTCTCCCAAGTAGCTGGGACCACAGGTATGTGCCACCATGCTCAGCTTATTTTTTATTATTTGTAGAGACAGGGCCTTGCTATATTGCCCAGGCTGGTCTCAAACTCCTGAGCTCAACTGATCTATCCACCTTAGCCTCCCAAAGTGCCTTTTTTTGTGTGTAGAGATAGGGTCTCACTCTGTCACTCAGGCTGGAGTGCAGTGGTGTGATCACAGCTGACTGTAATCTCAAACTCCTGGGCTCAAGCAATTCTCCTGTCTCAGTCTCCCATAGCTGGCACTACAGACAGGAACCACTGCACCTTGCCTAGTTTTCATTTTTTCTTTTTCTTTTTTTTTTTTTTTTGAGACAGTCTCGCTCTGTTGCCCAGGCTGGAATGCAGAGGTGCAATCTAGGCTCACTGCAACCTCTACTTCCTGGGTTCAATCGATTCTCCTGCTTCAGCCTCCCATGTAGCTGGGATTACAGGCACGCACCACCACAGCGGGCTACTTTTTGTATTTTTAGTAGAGATGAGGTTTCACCAGGCTGGTCTTAAAACTCCTGACCTTAAGTGATTTGCCTGCCTCAGCCTCCCAAAGTTCTGGGATTACAGGCATGAGCCACTGCGCCTGAGCCCATTTCTCATTTTCAATTAGTGATCATTTCTATCAAAAATATTCATTAGGAACTGAATAAATTACGACATAGTTTTTTTGTTTTGCTCTGTTTTTTAGTGCCAGGAATAGTAGTGTTGTGGGTTGAATTGTGTTCCCCAAAAAAGATTTGCTGAGATCCTAACCCCTGCTACCTGTGAATGTGACCTTATTTGAAAACAGGGTCTTTGCAGAAGTAATTAAGATGTAAGTTACGATGAGGTCACGTGGGAGTAGGGTGGGCCCTTAATCCAAAATGATCTGTCTTTCTTAAAAGAGAAGACACAAGGGACAGATACCCTGGGCCTTCAGGGAGAGGATAAGACCTTGATTTCAGACTTCTAGCCTCTAAAACTGTGAAAGAATCAACTTCTATAGTTTTAAGCCACCTGGTTTGCGGTACTTTGTTACAGCAGCCCTAGGAAACTAATACAAGTAGTAAGACAGAAGAGTAAGATTTAAGTAATGGTGGAGGCAAGCTAACAGGGTGAACGTGTCCTATGTTGAGTAATTGTGATGCATTTACCAGATGTTTCATTCTACAAGAATGAAGTCACCCTTATAATCAAGGTCACATATTTCAATGACAATCAGACAAGGAATTAGCCAGTTTATCCATACAAAACGAACAATCCTTACTTACATCAAACCAATGTCCTAGATTTTCTGATACCACACTCCAAGTAACAGAGCTCATCATAAGTGACTATTTCTACAAATAAATCAAATAGAAGGAGTATTCAAATAGTGACTTTTGGTGAAATACTGCTATAATCAATGTGTCTCTGCCTTGGGTTTCTGTCATAATGATTCTGTGGAATGTCCTTGGTGGTCAAGGACCCCCTTTTGTTATACACTCATACCAGCATTCTACCTATTTGTACATGTCTGCCTTCTCCACTAAAATATAAATTCCATGAAAATAGGAATCATATCTGATCTTCTCTCCACTGTATCTCCAGCCTCTAAAACAATGTCTGTAACCTCACAGATAAAATACACACATACTATGGCCGGGCGCGGTGGCTCAAGCCTGTAATCCCAGCACTTTGGGAGGCCAAGACGGGCGGATCACGAGGTCAGGAGATCGAGACCATCCTGGCTAACACGGTGAAACCCCGTCTCTACTAAGAAATACAAAAAACTAGCCGGGCGAGGTGGCAGGCGCCTGTAGTCCCAGCTACTCGGGAGGCTGAGGGTGGAGAATGGCGTGAACCCGGGAGGCGGAGCTTGCAGTGAGCTGAGATCCGGCCACTGCACTCCAGCCTGGGCTACAGAGCGAGACTCCGTCTCAAAAAAAAATAAAATAAAAAAATAAAATAAAATACACACATACTGGAAAAACTAGGACACAGGTTTGCTTTCAATAAGGACATGTATGAATATAAACTTGCTTATAAGTTGGAATATACATAATGATAATCAAATACAAAACACGGCCGAGGACGGTGGCACATGCCTATAATCCCAGAACTTTGAGAGGCTGAGGCAGGTGGATCACCCGAGGTCAGGAGTTTGTGACCAGCCTGACTAACAGGTGAAACCCCATCTCTACTTAAAAAAAAAACAAGCATGGTGGCGAATGCCTGTAATCCAAGCTACTTTGGAGGCTGCAACAAGAACGCTCGTACCTGGGAGGTGGAGGTTGCAGTGAGCCAAGATTACACCACTGTACTCCAGCCTGGGCAACAAGAACAAAACTCCATCTCAAAAAAAAAAAAAAAAAGTCTAAGAAAAACTAAAATTATTAGGTGCTGACTCCCAGTTAAACATGTAGATTGACCTTCTAAGGTGATAGTAAAGAATACAAAGGAACAAACCATAAGGTTAAAGAGATGAGAGAAGAGATTATAGGACACCAGCGATTTCCACAGTTTTACAAGGAAAATGAAGTGGCCTAACAGGTTTGAGGAAATGAAAAACTTTGATTTGAGGATACCAAAGGAAAGCGGGCCACACAGATTTCCAATCCTGTCAGACAGGGTATTCAGGTCCCTTCTGCTGTCCTGCTTCCAACATTCTGGTAGCTAGATGGTACCTTTCAGGCAGGAGACTGGAAAAGTCTTCTCAGAAAACACTAAAAACTAACAGATCTCCAGATTCTGAAACATGTGCTTTACTCTCCATCAATGAAAAAGCAGACTTGTCCCTAGATTACCCTAAAGTGAAGCCCATGAACTCCGCAGTCCTGCTTAGACACTAGGAGCTTCCAGCTAATTTCTCAGTTACACATTTTTTTTTTTTTTTGAGACGGAGTCTCACTTTCTTGCCCAGGCTGGAGTGCGGTGGCTCAATCACGGCTCACTGTAACCTCTGCATCCTGGGTTCAAGCGATTCTTCTGTCTCAGCCTCCTGAGTACCATCACACTTGGCTAATTTTTTTGTATTTTTGGTAGAGGAGGTTTCACCACGTTGGCCAGACTGGTCTTGAACTCCTGACCTCAAGTGATCTGCCCGCCTCAGCCTCCCAAAGTGCTGTGATTACAGGCATGAACCGCTTCCCCTGGCCAGCTTACAACTTTTCTTCTGCAGCTTCCTCATCTCTCCCAGTCCTCACAGAATTGAAGAGAATTAGGGTCTTGCTCAAAATTAGGTTTTGGTTTAAGAAAACATTGTGGCTAGTTTGATCTTCTATCCAGACTACTAAAAGTTTCTCCATATCAGCAATAAGGCTGTTTAGCTTTCTTATCCCTGGTGTGTTCCCTGGAGTAGCACTTTTAATTTGCTTCAACAACTTTTTCTTTATATTCACAACTCGGCTGTTCGGTACAAGAGGCCTAGCTTTCACGTTATTTCAGCTTTTGATGTACCTCCTTCACTAAGCTTAGTCATTTCGAGCTTTTGATATAAAGTGTGACATGAAACCCTTCCTTTCACTTGAACACTTAGGGTTCACTGTGGGGCTATTAATTGGCCTAATTTCAATATTGTTGCCTCTCAGGCTACAAGGAGGACCAAGAGGGAGGAGAGAAACAGGGAACTGGCAGGTAGGTGGGGCAGTCAGACACAACACTTAAGTTTACTGTTTTATACCAGTGAGGTTCATGGCGACCTAAAACAATTGCAATAATAACATCAAAGATCACTGATCACAGATCACTGTAACGGTATACCTGAAATAAAGTTTGAAATATAGCGATAGTTACCAAAGTGTCAGTGATAGGAAGTGGGCACATGCTGCTGAAAAACTAGTTGTTCGGCGCAGGACTACTTGCTACAAACTTTCAATTTGTAAAAAACACAATACCTATTAAGTTCAATAAAGCAAGGTATGGCTGTACTCAAGTCCCTAGCATCATTCATTCAACAAATATTTACAACACATCTACACAGCACTTAGGAAACCTGAACAGCCTCCCATAAAATAAAAACATGCACCCACCTCCCACGCGGGGAAGGCTTCAAGGTTTGTTTACTGCGTTACCCCCTGCGGGCTCGGTGGGGGAAGGTCGCCCATACACCAGCCCTTCCGCTCTCCTGGGCCACTTAGCCGGGAGAAGGAAACCCCTCATTTGGATCCGCGTACGCTAAGAAGCATTGCGTAGACTCGAGCACCGGCCAGGAGCGCACTAGACGCCTGGGAGGATGCGGTGCCCCCGGGGCGCAGGACAAGAAGCCGAGGAGACGCGGTGGGAGAGGATAGCGGGAGAGGATGGCAGGCTCCAGGCCCCGTCCTGCGCCCTCTTGTCGCACTTCCTCCATTCCCGCACCACAGACCCGCAGGTAGGCAACATCACCTGCACTTTTAGGGGAGGAAGCAAAGGCTCGCACAGATTTCACCGGACTCGGAGGGACCCGACTGAGCTCCCTGCCGGAGAGGCCGAGCCCATAAGAGGGTGGGGACGTTAGGATCGGGCCTCGTACCTGGGGAAGCCGAGCCATCGGGCCTGACGCTGGGAGAAAACCCGGCGGGAGAGGGCTGTCCGGGACCTGCTTCGTAACTCCCGCGCGGCCCACGCCAGCCTCAGCGCTTCGCGCGCCTCTAGACGCCAGTCTCGCGCCGGGCCCGCCCTTGTCTCCACGGCGACGCGGCGCGCACTAGGACCACCCCATTCAGACCCCGGGGCTTGCGCAGCCTCAGTCGGGCGGGTGGCGCACGACCGGTCGCTTTTGCAGCAGCCGCAATGAGAGTCGGTTCCGAGGGGCGTGGGAAATGCACCGTCTGGGCATCCCCACTGAGAGTCTTTGGCTCGCTAGCTTAGCTCTGAGCTCAGGTTGCTACTGCTCCTCTTAGACGAGAGAAGTGAGAGGCATTCCGAGGCGGAACCCCGAGTTAACACCGCCCGGGGTCGAGCACTAAGGATGAGGTTCCAGCTGGGAGGTGGCTGCGAACGAAAGTCTTCCTTCCCTCACTTCCGGGCTCGTGCGTGAGCCTCTTTGGCTTTTCGTTCACGGGGAGTGGAAACCGGAACCCGTGGAGTATGACCCGCCCATGCGTGTACCCGGCAGATTGCTACAACTTGCACTTGGAGGGGAGAAGTCCCATGGCCCCCGAATTAGAAATCCCAGGCTTATCTCTTTTTTTAACCCTTCATTTGAAAATGTAATTAATAAGCACTCCTTTTTGTTAAATTTTTTAATTTGGGCCGATCCTAATAAAAACAGGAGTGGGAGGGGTAAGTGGGACTTTTGAAATACTTTTTTACTGTGCTTTGTAAAACGTTTGAAAGCACGTGAGATTCCTGGTGCAGACACTAAAAGCAGTAGTTACTTAAATACTTGAAAGATTTTACGCTAAAAACATGAGGAAAATTAACTTGTTGGGTGTCTCGGGGTTAGAATCACAGATAATTTGTATTTTTGTCCTATTTTCTACATGCTAATTTTTGCAATTAAAACATTTATTATTTATTTATCTATTTATTTTGAGAAGGAGACACCCTCTGTCGTCCAGGCTGCAGTGCAGTGGCACGATCTGGGCTTACTTCCACCTTCACCTCCCGGGTTCAAGCGTTTCTCCTGCCTCAGCCTCCCAGGCGCACGCCACCACGCCCGGCTAATTTTTTTTTTTTTTTTTTTAGAGAGACGGGTTTCACCATGTTGGCCAGGTGAGTCTCGAACTCCTGACCTCAAGTGATCCGCCCGCTTCAGCCTCCCAAAGTGCTGGGATTACAGGCGTGAGCTACCGCACCTGGCCCTGAGGCGGATCACTTGAGGTCAGGAGTTCGAGACCAGCTTGGCCAATATGGTGAAACCCCGTCTCTACTAAAAATAAATTTAAAAAAAAAATTAGCCGGCCGTGGTAGTCCCAGCTACTGGGGGGGCTTAGACAGGAGAATCGCTTGAACTCAGGAGGCAGAGGTTGCAGTGGGCTGCGATCGTGCCATTGTACTCCAGCCTGGGCAACAAGAGCAAAACTCTGTCTCAAAAACAAACGGCCGGGCGCGGTGGCTCAAGCCTGTAATCCCAGCACTTTGGGAGGCCGAGACGGGCGAATCACGAGGTCAGGAGATCGAGACCATCCTGGTTAATACGGTGAAACCCCGTCTCTACTGAAAAGTACAAAAAACTAGCCGGGCGAGGTGGCGGGCGCCTGTAGTCCCAGCTACTTGGGAGGCTGAGGCAGGAGAATGGCGTGAACCCGGGAGGCGGAGCTTGCAGTGAGCTGAGATCTGGCCACTGCACTCCGGCCTGGGCGACAGAGCGAGACTCCGTCTCAAAAAATAAAAACAAAAAAACAAAAACAAGGCCGGGCGCGGTGGCTCAAGCCTGTAATCCCAGCACTTTGGGAGGCCGAGACGGGCGGATCACGAGGTCAGGAGATCGAGACCATCCTGGCTAACACAGTGAAACCCCGTCTCTACTAAAAAAAATACAAAAAACTAGCCGGGCGCGGTGGCGGGCGCCTGTAGTCCCAGCTACTCGGGAGGCTGAGGCAGGAGAATGGCGGGAACCCGGGAGGCGGAGCTTGCAGTGAGCTGAGATCCGGCCACTGCACTCCAGCCTGGGCGGCAGAGCGAGACTCCCTCTCAAAAAAAAAAAAAAAAAAAAAAAAACAGTATAACTAACCTATTCACTGTAATTTAGCCTAAGTACTTATATAATTATGTAGATTTATATAAATTACATATTTAGGATAAGTCAATAAGCATTCTTTCTAGATGATTTGAGCTAATTTCCTAATGCTTTCTTCCTGTCATAGGCATTTACCATCCTCAGCTTTCACAAATTTAGGAGGGATGAAAGGCATTTCCATTTTGAGTTACAATGAAAATAATTAGTCTTGTCAGGAAAGATTAGAAGATAACAGTATATAATAATAGCTAGGACAAGGACATCTTAGAGGCTGGGCACGGTGGCTCACACCTGTAATCTGAGCATTTTGGAATGCTGAGCCAGGAGAATTGCCTGAGCCCAGTAGTTCAAGACCAGCCTGCGCAACAGAGTGAGACCCCCCCCCCCACAATCTCTACAAAATATAAAAAATTTGACCAGACGCGGTGGCTCATGCCTGTAATCCCAGGACTTTGAGAGGCCAAGGTGGGTGATCACTTGAGGTCAGGAGTTTTGAGACCAGCCTGGCCGACGTGGTGAAACCCCATCTCTACTACTAAAAATACAAAAAGTAGCCAGGCGTGGAGGCACGACCCTGTAATCCCAGCTACTCGGGAGGTTGGGGCACAAGAATCGCTTGAACCTGGCGGGGACGGTTGCAGTGAGCCAAGATCCCGCCACTGCACTCCAGCCTGGGTGACAGAACAAGACTCTGTCTCGAAACAAACAGAAAAACTAAGGGTTACCCTTGGAGCAAGAAAAACTGAATGTAGGAAAAAGCCCATTTAGAGAAGTGCAATCCAGCCTGCTGTGATGAGGCTGCTGAAAGGTCATGGCCTGGCATTAAGCTCTCTCACAGGTGCTCTCATGATTTCTGGGTTTCTAGTATTTTCTTCTTTTCTTTTTCTTTTTTTTTTTTTTTTTTTGAGACAAGAGTTTCACTTTTGTCCCTCAGGCTGGAGTGCAGTGGCACGATCTCGGCTCACTGCAACCTCCACCTCCCGGGTTCAATCGATTCTCCTGTTTCAGCCTCCCAAGTAGCTGGGATTACAGGCATGTGCCACCACGCCCAGCTAATTTTGTATTTTTAGTAGAGACGGGGTTTCGTCATGTTGGCCAGGCTGGTATAGAATTCCTGATCTCAAGTGATCCTCCCACCTCAGCCTCCCAAAGTGCTGGGATTATAGGCATGAGCCACCATGCCCGGTCAGTTTCTAGTATTTTCTTTTTTTTTTTTTTTTTTTTTGAGACAGAGTCTTGCTCTGTCACCCAGGCTGGGGTGCAGTGGCCGGATCTCAGTTCACTGCAAGCTCCGCCTCCCGGGTTTAGACCATTCTCCTGCCTCAGCCTCCCGAGTAGCTGGGACTACAGGCGCCCGCCACCTCGCCCGGCTAGTTTTTTGTATTTTTTAGTAGAGACGGGGTTTCACCGTGTTAGCCAGGATGGTCTCGATCCCCTGACCTCGTGATCCGCCCGTCTCGGCCTCCCAAAGTGCTGGGATTACAGGCTTGAGCCACCGTGCCCGGCCTCTAGTATTTTCATTTGCTTCTCTGCTGTTCTTGGACTAATTTCCCTGACTGGCTGAACCTTTGAGACCCCTTATGCCAAACTTTGGGCCAACAATTTGGACCTAAACCAAGATCTACACACACTTAGTAAAGAACTAAAATAATTTCCCTCTCAAAGAGCTTTCCCAAGCTGATATTTGAAAATTGGTTATTAGTTGCAGGAGGGGACATTTAGAATTACAAATTATTGGCCTGGCACGATGGCTCACACCTGTAATCCCAGCACTTTGGGAGGCCGAGGTGGGGGAATCACATGAGGTCAGGAGTTAAGACCAGCCTGGCCAACATGGGGAAACCCCATCTCTACTAAAAATACAAAAGTTAGCTGGGTGTGGTGGCACAGGCCTGTGGTCCCAGCTTCTTGGGAGGCTGAGGCATGAGAATTCCTTGAACTCAGGAGGCGGAGGTTGAGTGAGCCGAGATTGTGCCACTGCACTCTAGCCTGGGGGACAGAGCAAAACTCGGTCTCAAAAAATTACAAATTACAGACCGGGTGCGGTGGCTCACGCCTGTAATCACAGCACTTTGGGAGACCGAGGCAGGCAGATCACGAAGTCAGGAAATCGAGACCATCCTGGCTAACGCGGTGAAACCCTGGCTCTACTAAAAATACGAAATAATTAGCCGGGCGTGGTGGCGGGCACCTGTAGTCCCAGCTACTTGGGAGGCTGAGGCAGGAGAATGGCCTGAGCCCCGGACGCAGAGCTTTCTGTGAGCCAAGATTGTGCCACTGCACTCCAGCCTGGATGACAGAGCGAGACTCCCTCTAAAAAACTAAATAAATAAATAAAAATACAAAGTATCAGGCCGGGCATGGTGGCTCATGCCTGTAATCCCAGCACTTTGGGAGGCTGAGGTAGGTGTATCACGAGGTCAGGAGTTTGAGACCAGCCTGACCAACATGGTGAAACTCTGTCTCTACTAAAATACAAAACTTAGCTGGGCGTGGTGGCACGCGCCTGTAATCCCAGTTACTCAGGAGGCTGAGGTAGGAGAATCTCTTGAACCCGGAAGGCAGAGGTTGCAGTGAGCCGAGATCACGCCATTGCACTCCAGCCTGGACAATGCAGCGAGACTCCTTCTCAAATAAATAAATAAATAAATAAATAAATAAATAATCCTGCCAAGGAGAGTAACATTCAAAAACTACAATAAAACAAGAATTTGCAAGCATCTAGCTTTTGCCAGGCACAGGTGAAAGAAGTTTATGGAAGCCTCCCTTAGATTATTACCTTTTTTCCTAGGTAACAAGTGAGACTTTGAGAGGTAAGAAATGAATTGAGGCCCGGTCTCAAGCCTAATCAGACTTTGAGGCCGAACGGGATCACGAGTAGAGATCGAACCATGCTAAACAGTGAACCGTCTACTAAAAAATAAAAAAATAGGGGAGGTGGGGGCCGTAGTCCATATGACGAGCAGAGAATGCGTAACCCGGAGCGAGCTGCAGTGAGTGAGATGGCCACTGCCTAGTGGCGAAAAAATCTAAAAAAAAAAAAAAAAAAAAAAAAAAAAAAAAAAAAAAAAAAAAAAGGTCTACAAAATAAAGAGTATAAAAAAAGTAGGTCCTAAATAGGATAGACCAGAGGGCTCAGGATATTAGTTCCAGCTATCAAATCGTGACAGCTGCAATGCCCTGGGCACTGATTTCATGTATGGCTTGTGGTAGTTTAAAACATGCCTACACATTCCTTGACATTCCTCCCATATAGAGGTGGAGTCTAAGTTCCTTTGCCTTGAATATAGGGTAGCCGTGCTGACTCTAAGGAACAGAATGTGGCACGTGGCAGAACTGATTCCAAGGCTAGGTTAGGAAAGGCAATACAGCAACTATCATCTGGCTTTCTTGTTCATTCTCTGAACACTTGCCCTTAGAATCCAGTCGTCATGTTTCAAGGAAGCTCAGGCCACAGGGAGAGGCCATGTCTAAGTGTTCCAGGGACAGCTCTAGTGGTCCCAGGTCTTAGGTGACAGCCACCATCAACCACCAGA